CCACAACAACCGGAGGCACAGAAGGTACAATATCCACAACAACCGGAGGCACAGAAGGTACAATATCCACAGCAACCAGAGGCACGCTAGACATGATACTTGAAGACGCAACGCCTGGAAGAGCAACACTCATAGCAACCGGTGGTGCACTAGACGTGGTACTTGAAGAAGCAAACGTAACGGACATAACCAAGAAGTAAATTTATTGTTCGTTTTTTTTTTCTCGTTTTTTTTATTCTTTTTTTTTTTCCTTGCCAATCTCTAAACGCTAAGAAATAAGTTAATAAATATATTTTTTTGTAACCCTTATAAAACAAAAAACAAGCAAAAAAAAAAAATAATAATAATACCTACAAGTTATAAACCCAATGCTTAAATCTATTGTTCTCAACCCGGCAAAGTTTTTTATAGAAAAAAATATATACAATCTTACGTAAAAAAAAAAAAAAAAAATAGGTAAAAAAAAAAAAAAATGTATATATTTCAACTTTTTTTTTGAAAGTTGCGGTTAACTCTAAGATTTTAAAAGATTCGAATATTGATCTGTGAGGGAAAAATAAAAAGAATCTATGAAAAAAACAATAAAAAAAATGCTTATAAATTTTTCAAAAATTCATAAGAAAAAAAAATAGAAAAAACATGTCATCTTACAAAGTTCAAAAAAATTTTTTTTCGATCTGAAATAATGATAATGCAGTGCTGACAAATTGAAATATTATTTTCGACTAATTATGATTTTCAATTTACTCGACCAATCATAATCATAGTTACTTCACGTGATGTGCCTCTGCTTTAGACGTTCCCCAAGATTGGCTGTGAAAGCCTTGTTCAGAATGCTATTAGTCGTTGCTCCGTTCCTGCTTTGCAAAATTATATTAAAAGGAACTATTTAAAAAACACGGAACAATGGGGTTTGTGGGCGTGTCAACATTCCCCTTTGCTTTTACAAGTTATATCTATGAATCCACTGGAATCCTTTCACAGCGAGATAAAGAAGGTAACGTCTTCTTTACATGGATTAATTGGTAAGTTTAGGGTTAAAGTTAGGGTTTTTTGATTATTTTTTTCTTTAATCACTTGCTCACTTCTAATTCTTTATATAGGCGCTGTTCATGGTATCGTTGATATCGATTGTAAAAAAAAAGCCGAATCAGAAAATGCCGCCTTTAACTTTCATATAAAAAAAGTGTCTGCCTACAGTATCGATAATGACATTCTTGAAGAAATCCATAAGTTTCCCCTTCCATTTCAAAAATTACTTGTTAAAGAAGCCTGCGCTGTTAATAATAGGCTGGAAAAAGGAAAAGGTATCCCGGGTTTAACCTCTCTCAATTGTTATTGTTTGTTTCGCAATCGCTACTTATTGCCATG